TGAAGATTTCTCGTCGTCCAATTTGGCTTTGGTCTTGGCTGCCCGATCTTCTTAGACTTTGATATAGCCGGTTGCCTTATGCAAAGCGTCTTCTAGGGTTTTGGTTTTCCCGGTTTTCAACCGTTCATAGTACGATTGATCGTCTCTCAAGTTCCTGATGAGGATGTTGAGAGATAGCTCGTCCGACAAGCTGCATCGGGAAACGATAGACCAGAACCGGTCGATGGAGTTGCGCAAAGGTTCCATGTCGCCCTGGACACATGCTCATAGGTCGAGCGCTGTAGACTCTGTGTCGATGTAGAACGAATAATGTTTAAGGAACCGAACTGTGAGTTCCTTGTAGCTGTCGATGGATTTTTTTAGGAAGCTGCGAGAACCAGGTGAGGGCGCTTCCGGAGAGCATCTCCACAAAGTACTGACAGAGGCATGCGTCCCGTTCCTCGTCGGTGAAGCGAGCTCGCCCCATGACTACATTGAACGCGGTCAGGTGTCGCTTCGGGTCAGTCGTGCCGGTGTAACTCGGAGGTAGCTTCATCCGGCTTATGTCTTTGAGAGGAGCCTTGGTGATGGCCGATGTGAACGGGGTCTGCTGCGCTTGTTGGAGGATTTTGTCCAACTCCGGTGCCGAGGTTGTCACCTTATGGATCTTGCTGTTGATATCGTCAAGGCGTTGATGGAGAAGGTCGAGTTCTGAGACCGTCGTCAGGTCGGCACCTGTGGTGTTACGGGATGAGCGAGTGTTGGAGCCTTCCATCTGTGCTCTCTGCAGGTCGTATGTCGGTGTGGTGCCGAACAAGTTGTTGACCAGTCTAGTCGTATCTGCGTTGCGGATCGGCGGGCGCGGGGGCATGATCAGATCGGTCGTCTCTTGGGTATGAATCCTAGCATTGAGAAGCCGATCTAGGTCTTCTCGATAAGTAATTTGTTCGGCGCAGAGGGACTCGAAGCGAGCATTCATGCCCTGTTGGAGATGTGCCGCGACCGATCTGATGATAGTGTCCATGACAATGGGCGGTGGTTTTGGCAGGTCGGCCGGGTTTGTTCCATCAATGTGGCCGACCTGGCCTGTTTTGCCGGTGTTCTGTGCAGTTGTGTCGTCAGTCTGTATGTTGATCTGATCGTCCATCGGGAATCCGGTGATCGGATCGACGATCAGAGCCTGGGTGTTTCTGGTGGGATCGGCAGCTCCTCCTGCATGATCAGTGGATCCTCCGGTGAGATCGGTGGCTCCTATGGTAAGGTCGGTGGTATCAGGATTGATCGGTGCTCCAACCATCTTCAAGCTCCACTCTTTTCAGAGATTGTTCTCATATTCCCCACATACGGCGTCAACTGTAAAAACTCAAGTTCGACTTTGGAAGAGAACTAGGGTTTGTGGGTTTAAAGAGAGATCTTTATTAAATTAAGCCGGAGCTTGAGAGATACAAGGTTATTTAGGTCGTCGGAATAAGAACGCCGCCCTGAACTTTTTAAGGAAAGAAGATCGAGAGCTAAGAACAATCAGATTGCTTAGTTTGCCCTAGGTCTCGAAAGAGTATTTTTGGATGATTTGAGAAGTCGAAGACTTCCCGTATTTATAGCCGATCAGGTCGGTCTTCTATGTCTATTTGGAAAAGGAAAGTCTTCTTGCCGAAAAGATTAAACTTCTATTTTTCCCGGGTTCGCTTGATAAATGGAAGATTTCCATTTATTTGGTCAACCTGAACCTTACAAAGTTGACCGACCAGAATTCATATCAGGCTTGTAGAGATGATATGAATTTCATCTCTAACAAAGCCTATAACTCTCTGAAATAACTTTTTCATTCCAAGAGATGTTGAACTCTCTAGTCTCATTTGCCCCTAAGACTTCAATCTCAGAGAAGTGGAGGAAATAGAAAATTTTATCATTAGGAGTTTTGAGATACTCCGTATATTTCAATGGCTCACTCGCATTCACAGGTGTTGCAGCGGTTGTGATTATAGTTTCCGGCAAGTTAAAGCTACCAGTGTTGTTTGTTTTGACTGTAGTAGAAATCTTCTTCCATTCTTTCTCAAGGTAAGGGACCCATATTCGATCATAGCGATCTTTTGGGAACCTGTCATTATAACATAATTTTATATTATATATATATATGTGAATAATTAGATACTATATATGTTCTAAGAGATTTTCAAATTCATCTAGTTTTTTTTTATCGTTCATAAAATTATTTTTACTAAAAATTATAAAGATAATTTTTCGACAAACAATTCATCTATTCTACACAGATCTATAAATTATTATAGAAAAAATGCTCCAAAATGATCGAGAATGATAAAATAATATGAAATAGATATCCTGTTGAGAAAAAATTGTAAAAATGATATTTTTTACGATTTTTATAAATATCAGCGCTACCATTTTAACTACTGTTATTTGTAGACTAATGACAGATTAATGACAAATTAACGGTAGATTGAATGCAGACTACTGACAGACTGATTGGTCAAATAATTGCATGTAGAATACTGGCAGACTAATGGAAGAGTAATTACAAATTACTTGCAGACTAATAGCAGATTGAAAACAAAATAGTAGATCCCTCTTATGGGTTATTTTAGAAAAAATCATGTTCATTATGAAATTATTAAGTAGGTTATTTTAATAATTATCCCTAGATTATATATATATATATATATGGATTATTAGATTGTATATACACTGCTTTAACTACGATTGATGAATTGATAGCATAACGTTATATGGATTTCAGAATCAACGCAAACACGTAAAATAATAATTTCTCAACAAGTTGACTTACTTGATATTCTTTTCTGATTCGCTAAAATAGTACTGCGTCCAATAGGTCAATGAACCGGACGTAGTGATATAAGTATATAACTGTTATTTGGTAGAGGCCTTAGTTTTAAAGCCGATATAAACGGTGTCGACGTGTCTGTCTTAACAAGACACACATCCAAGAAGTTTGATCTTGGAGTGTGAATGATCTCTCCCATTGAATCACCTTCGTCCTTGTTCAAATCCATTGATATCCAAAAATTAGGGCCTATGTATAAATCAAACTTTGGATAATTATTAAGACCGTCATAGTTTCCATAGAGAAATCTAGCTCTAATCAAATAGTTTGTTCCCTGTTTGACACTGAAACTGTAACAGTTGCGTTTTCCGTCGCCTTCTGGAAAGTATCTTAACGTCCACACCATCTTTATGTACGTTTTCTCTAGACTTTCTTCAATTCTTCCAATTTTTCCACTTTGGATGAAGTTTGAGTCTGATGAGTATATTAAGCCACTTTTAGGATGGATATAAGGAGACACTTCATTCGGGGGTAACCCACAATCCAAACTGATGAACCCTGTTAAGATATAGTATTAGAACAGCGCTCATTAGTACATGAAAAAAAAAGTGTTCCAAATTGATGTTAGAGTTTCAAATAAAAGTTGACATCCAATGTGTTATAATTAAAACTGATATAAACTCGAAAAATGACCTAAAATCTTAATTGGTTCGACAGCTGCTACAGTTATAAAACCATTACCTATCAGTGTCAGACGCCGTTCATAAAAGAAGCATTTCTCAAAAAACTTCAGATTCTTAATGGTCTTACTGTTAGTTAAATAGTTGTATAAAACGTTAGAATATCTCATACTGAAAGTAAGGATTATTCAGAAGGTACATAAATGATATGATATCTTCATTCATTTTCAATTAACTTTGAGTTGGAACTTTATAATCTCAATACTAGTATATAGTTCAAAATAGAGTATCTCCACTTAGACTGTAACTGATTGTTAGGTTTAGGAATAGGCTGAACAAAAAGAATTTAAAAATATGGAATACAAATAAATAGAATAATGGCAGTTAAAGGAATAAATTGAAAGGAATAAATATATGAAAATATATACTGATGTATTATGAATGGTAACTGTTTAGAGGAATACATTGGAATGAAAATAAAATGAATTAAAATTACTCCATTTTGGATCCCATGGGGACACTCCATTTTCTCTTATTTCCCAAACAAAATTAATATAGGCACTACCGTCCTAACTTTGAACGGTTTTTGATATTTATAAGCAAAGGGCGGGGCGCAAAGCTATTTAAACATGCCAAGAAGTTCTTTACTCAAGTGAAAGCTATAAACGTGATAGCATGTCTTAGTGAGTTCTATAAAAAGAAATTCAAAGGAATGACTAAATATATTTTCTAGTGGGCAATACAGCTGTTTAGTTTTTAGATTATAGGTCATTAAATAGAGTAATATATACCACTAGCTGATTATAGTTTGTTTGGATGAAAAGACATATATATATATTGTTTTCTAATTGGAACGATGTGTACGTAGACTATTTGATCTGACTTAGATTGTCTAAGTAATTTTTAGATATTAACTATAATCCCTTTGAAACTGCTCTAAGCCTACCTTGATACCAACATAAAGATCGCGAAAATCACCAAAATTTAGGATATCCGCTCCATGTAACGCTTAATTGTTTCATCACACAAAAACTTTTGACATGTATAAACATTGTATAAGTCTATGACCACCCGAAAGTCAACGTTTCTTCATGCGTTATGGTGGTAAATATATGAAAGCCTAGAATCTTTCGCAGATTGACAACGTCTTCGAAAGAAAAGTCAAGTTAACAAGTTGCATTTGGTATAATCAAGAATTAACTAGTTGATTTAATTGCGCACCAATCAAAATCTCTATTCAAGGTTGCGATACGACCTGGTCGAAGATACACGTACATCATGCATGAAGACTTTCCGCGTGATTTAACTTATATTAGTCTTGCGACAGTGAAGTTTCACTAGAAAACATCATTGCTCACTCTTCATAGCAGGACTTAAATCCATATACACTCATTTTCTCATATGTTTGACTTTAACTTTTTTTTTAATTAGTATCCATTATTATTGGAGGAGGTTAACTCGTTTGTCCTAGTATATAAGTGAAACATGAGTACATATGCGTGTGCGTACTCGCCTTGCCTACGTGTTTTGTGATCGGAATCATGAACAGTCCTCACTGGATTTTGTTGACGTTATTTGGGTTTGGAGTCTTGGCCATCCTTCGTTTTTCTGAAGCACAAAATCAAGAAGGTATGAAACTATTTACCTTTTTAAAACGGCTGGACTTATTTTACCGTAACTCTCTCCCATGAACGAACACTCTTTTCACCATTTATATATATGTTTAATTCATGTCTTAAGTACTGGTTTTATCAGTTTAGACTGTGGCTTGCCATTGAACGAGTCTCCTTATATAGAACCGGAAAACGAAATACAGTTCTCATCAGACGAGACTTTCATCAAAAGTGGAAAGATCGGAAGAATGCCGGAGAATCTTGAATCCGGTAACCTAAAACAATACTTAACCCTACGGTATTTTCCAGATGGAATACGAAACTGCTATGATCTAAGGGTGGAAAAAGGGAGGAATTATCTGATTAGAGCTATGTTTTTCTATGGAAACTTTGATGGGCTCAATGTTCTCCCGGAATTCGATATCTATATAGGTCCTAATAAATGGGCAACAATAGATCTTCAACAAGAACCATTCGGTTCAGGTAAGGAGGTCATTCACATGTCAGAAACAAACTCTTTGCAAATTTGTCTTGTCAAGACGGGGGCAACAACTCCAATGATATCAGCTTTGGAACTACGACCTTTGGCGAATGGTACTTACATCGCTAAATCTGGCTCCCTCAAACTTAACTTTCGCGTGTATCTTAGCAACTCCACTGTTCTTCTTCGGTACGTATTCAACTTCAATCCATAACTAGTTAGTCTTCATATTAATGTATTACAACTTACATTTAAATATTAATAGTTTTACTGTACATGATAAGATATTAAATCAAAGAAAGATTGTGAATTGTGACTATATGATAAGATATTAAATCAAAGAAAGATTGTGAATTGTGACAGGTACCCTAAAGATGTTTATGATCGTACATGGATTCCATATTTTCAACCCGAGTGGACACAAATTTCGACAACTAAGAATGTGTCCAATAAAAATGGCTATGATCCACCGCAAGCTGTGCTTAAGGTGGCTGCGACACCTACAAATCTTGACGCGCCATTGATGTTAAATTGGAGTTTGGAGAATCCTGATGATCAAATCTACTTGTATAGACACTTTGCTGAGATCCAAGTCATAAGTGGCAATGACACTAGAGAATTCGATTGTGTGTTGAATGGAGAAACAATTAATAGTAAAGTTATTAGTCCTAAAAATCTTGAAATAGAGACTATGCTTACAACAATTCCTAAGGAATGCATAGGAGGTAAATGCCGGATGCAGCTGATAAAAACCTCAAGATCGACACTTCCACCACTGCTTAATGGTTTTGAAGTTTACTCAGTTCTTCAGCTTCCACAAGCTCAGACAAATGACAGTGAAGGTATATAAATAAGATAACTATATATATTGTAAATGATTATTAAAAGCACCTTCATGAGATCTAATTCATCAGTTTTCACAATCGTCTTAATATTTTTTTTGCTAGTGGTTGCTATCAAGAACATCAGCTCTACTTATGGATTAAATAGAATCACTTGGCAAGGAGATCCATGTGTCCCCATGCAATTCTTGTGGGATGGATTAAATTGTAGCATCACAAACATGTCATCTCCACCGAGAATAATTTCTTTGTAAGATCTTGTGGATTTGGAAAATTGGTTAAACATCATGTTTCTATATAACTTAAAATTTATATATGTTTCTTTAATAACCAGAAATTTATCTTCAAGTGGCTTGACTGGAACCATACTATCTCAGATTCAGAATCTGACTCGTCTAGAAAGTTTGTAAGTATGATCGTTAATTTTTGACAGATGTTTTGTATATGGACACTAATCAACTAATGGTTCATTATTCTTTTTCACATCCCAGGGATTTATCAAATAACACTTTGAGTGGAATGGTGCCCGAGTTTCTAGCCTCTATGAAATCATTGTTGGTCATGTAATAGATTTTTTTTTTTTTAAAAAAAATAACTAGTCACGTTCACACGAATCACATTTGTGTAGTGTGTACATATGAGTTTTTCTCTAATTGGACAGAAACTTGAGCGGGAACAATCTTAGCGGCTCAATTCCTCAAGCTCTTCGCGATAGAGAAACGAAAGGACTAAAGTTATAGTAAGAATGATTCTCACAATATTTTACTCCTTAACTAAATTATTCCAACTTAAAACATTGATTCAGCTTTTCTTATGAAATCTAAATATCTCCTTTGTAGTGTCCTTGGAAACAAATATCTTTGTCTATCCAATACATGCATAAATAAGCCAAAGAAGAAATTTCCAGTAACAATTGTTGCACCAGTTGCTTCCATTGCTGCTATCGTTCTTGTGATGGTCTTCCTTTTCGTGTTCAGAAAGAAAATGTCATCAAGTATGGAAGATATATGCGACAGACTCTCTAACCAATAAACAGCTATACATATGCTTGTTTTCTACTCTTATATACTCGCATATGCTTTACGTGCAGCGAATAAGTCTGAACCGTGGATTAAGACAAAACGGAGAAGGTTTACTTACTCAGAAGTTTTAGAGATGACTAAGAACTTGCAACGACCACTTGGTGAAGGAGGGTTTGGCATGGTTTATCACGGTGACCTAAATGGTTCGGAGCAAGTAGCTGTCAAGCTACTTTCCCAAACATCAGCACAAGGTTATAAAGAATTCAAGGCAGAGGTATGAACTTTAAATCTTTGTAAAATGTGATCTATATTATGGATTTAATTCAACCAATTTGTTAAGTGGTGGTTTTACATTATAGGTAGAACGTCTTTTGAGGGTTCACCACATAAATCTAGTAAGTCTTGTCGGCTATTGTGATGAACAAGATCACTTTGCCCTCATCTACGAATACATGTCCAATGGAGACTTACATCAACATCTATCAGGTGTGAACAAGCAACTTTAAAGCATATCTTAGTTATAACCAAATGTATGAAATTACACAACAATTTTAAACAATAAGATATTTTCATCCTCGGGTAATGTTTTGCAGCTTGAGTATATATATTAATTATAATTAAATATGTGATGTAGGCAAAAATGGTGGCTCTGTTTTGAACTGGTGTACTAGACTAAAATTAGCCATCGAGGCTGCATTAGGATTAGAATACTTGCATATTGGATGCAAGCCAGCAATGGTGCATAGAGATGTCAAAAGTACGAATATATTGTTGGATGAAGAGTTCAAAGCCAAAATTGCAGATTTTGGGCTTTCGAGATCTTTCCAAGTTGGAGGCGATCGATCTCGAGTTTCAACTGTGGTTGCTGGTACTTTAGGATATCTTGATCCTGACTAAGTATATACATCGACTTACCATGGCAGAAAATATGTTTTGAATGTTTTTAAGTGGTTAAAGAACTGCACCATACATATATATGAATAAACACTTCTATCTTCTTGCCTTAACAGATATTACTTAACAAGTGAGCTATCTGAGAAGAGTGATATCTATAGCTTTGGGATCTTATTACTAGAGATGATCACAAATCAACGAGTGATTGATCAAACTCGCGAAAGGCCTAACATAGCAGAATGGGTGACATTTGTGATTAAGAAAGGAGATACTAGTCAGCTCGTGGATCCTAAACTTCAAGGGAATTATGATCCCCACTCTGTATGGAGAGCTCTCGAAGTGGCAATGTCATGCGCAAATCCTTCTTCGGCCAAACGACCAAACATGTCCCAAGTTATCATCAAACTTAAAGAGTGTCTTGAATCTGAAAACGTGAGGACAAGTAGGAATCAAGACACGAACTCTCATCAAAGTTCGGTCGAGCTGAGCGTGAGTGTGACCTTTGATACTGACGTGTACCCTAAGGCAAGATAACATATATGTGTTCTTCTACAATGTTGGTATTATTTTGACATGAACAAAGCCTATCGGTGTATATATAAGGCTTTGTTTTAATTTACAAGTTATAACCATTGTCAAATAGTTTTTTAGTTTGTCGCTCCCATGTAATAAAAGTAATAAATATTTATTAACCGTTGTAAAATGTATATGTGAATGTTGTACTGAAAAATCAGAAAGTTTTTGTTCATACGATGATGATTAATATTTGGGTTTGTATTTCGTTACTCAAGTTTAATGACAAAATTAAGCAAAAAAAAATGAAAAGAACAAGTTTTATGAAAAAGCGGTGAAAATATTGGCGCTACTTTTCCCCCACTCCTTGCCGCTTCATGAAAATCACAAATTTTCATTTGCCTGGTATCGCGCGGATCGATAATATTAACCGTCGATAAAAATAAATCGACGGCCAATATGTCATCTCATTGTTCACCCAGATCGATATTTGCAGCCGTTAGATCAAGAAAGATATCTAAAGGCTCAAATTGAAAGGGTCTCGTCTTCCATATAAATAACCACCGCCCCATTGTAAATTCTCAATCCATCACAATCTATTATACACCGGTTAGATCTTAAAAGCTAATTTTCTCGAGAGAAATTCAAATTTCCTGGAAAAATGTCTGGCCGTGGAAAGGGAGGCAAGGGTTTGGGCAAAGGAGGAGCAAAGCGTCATAGGAAGGTTCTGAGAGACAACATCCAAGGAATCACCAAGCCGGCGATTCGGAGATTGGCTCGTAGAGGAGGCGTCAAGCGTATCAGCGGTCTGATCTACGAGGAGACACGTGGCGTCCTCAAGATCTTTTTGGAGAACGTCATCCGCGACGCCGTCACTTACACCGAGCACGCACGGAGGAAGACGGTGACGGCCATGGATGTGGTTTATGCGCTCAAGAGGCAAGGGAGGACCCTCTATGGATTCGGTGGTTAGGTTGTTTAGCCTTTCTCGGTTTCTGAGATTTGGATGTAGCGTTTATCTTCTGGAATTTCAGATCGATTCGTATTTCCGTTTGCGTTGTAATGTTGTTTAGTATGAATATATACGTTTGCGTTTTATATTTTGGTGGGCGTTTGCGTTTACAATTCCACGTTCACAGTGATTATTTCAGTAGTTAAGTCTCGCTTTATCCAATCGAAACAAACGTCTCGCAATCGACTTTTTATTGAGATAAACGGCATAAACTTGATAGACAAATTACGCGGACTTATTCTTAACGACACGCATGTAGCCGCTAATGTGAGACGGAATAAGAATAATCCAACTGAAAAACGGCATGTTTTTTCGATTAAACCGGATTTGTACAAAAAAAGTTACTGAATTTACGGTTCAAACCGAATTTGATTGGACTTCAATTCATCACTCCACTGGTTCAATTTGGGTCTTTACTGCACATGTGTTATTGGGCTATTTTGTCACTGATATATTTCGGGTTGTGTAAGGAATTTGAATTCTCTTGCTTTTAAATTGAAAACCCATCTAAAAAAAAGCTAAGGTTCAGATTATGAAGCAGCTTTTAGATATGTTTGCATCTTGATCTTCTCATAGACTCATACTGAAGCACAACGATTGGATTGAATCAGCTGCTAGTTCGTTTATTTGTTGAAACTTGAAACCATAAGAAAATCTAATTTTTTTGCTTCAACTGTATATGGAGAAGATGAATGAACAATACACATCAACAGATAACTAGAGAATTAGAAGAAAATGGGCCTACTTCAGCCTAATTATGTTAGGCCCATCATTGTCCACACAAGAATATACAAAACACACGCATGAAAACACCATTAATATTGTTCCGTTCCAAGCTTGCAATACACACACATAACAAATATTTCCATCGGCATTTATGTACACTGATTACTAAAGTAGCGTAATCATGCAAAATGGATGCTGAGTCATA